CGGAAACATCTGTTTTCGAGTTTTTCTACTAATGCGTGAATTCTGCCCTTGAGGAACTCATAAAGATTAAAGTAATATTTATTCTGAAACAGGGAATGTTTAGGTAGCAAAATCTCCCAAAATCGGTAATGTTTTTAACCCACATATTAAGAGCTCTCCTGGCCGTCAGCTAAATGCCGCGACAAGCAAAAGCCTGGAACTTCAAGCGTCCTCTCTCGCAGAACGAAGAACCCTTTGGAACCAAAAATTTGTTTATATAAAGGTGTTTAGGTGCTGTAATACCTCGTGAAAGTAGAAACTCGGAAGAATCGATAGTTTTTTGTTTGATTTTTATTGACGTCACGTGCAAACCAAGAATAGATCAAAGCGTAAATATAAATGGTAAATAAAAAAAAAATATAATAAAAGAATACAACCCCTAAATAGAAAAATGACAGGCAAGATATAATTAGGTAAATTCAGAAATAAATATTTTACTCAGTAAAATAGAAGTCACGCGAGAATAGCGCGCGAAAGGAGACGCTCGCCATTAATTTATGAAGATATATTTTTTTAATTTGTTCACCTTCAGTCTTCATATCGCAATGAGCGAGCACAGTAGAACCAGGTTTAATGGTACTCAGCCAGTACTTCTTGCTCTCTACCTCCCCTTCACTTGCTTTGATTTCTTTGCATGTTTCAGCTGGAAGCTCAGGAGTGGATCCAAGAGGAACTAAAGAGAAAATGTTCCATTAATTATGTAATGGTTATTCTGAAATTAAATTGTCAGCATCGAATCGATAATCATTGATAGAAACTTTGAGACGTCAATAATATGCACGTTTGGTGAAGTTTTTTCAAAGAATTCTATAGTGCATGCCCTTCCTCGAATTTATTTAATATAAAAGCACAAACGATCTCGAAAATAATCAATAATTAGCGACAAGTTGTACTGGAGCACTGTTTAAGTTAGGCCACATCTACTCGCCCGAGCAAATATTTTTGAGCAAGTGTTCCGGCGATGCACGAAAATTGTCGGCTATCTACTGTAGACGACCAGCATTGAATGAAGAAACTGGTCCGTTCGAGGAAACTGCACTTGTTCTTAGGGCTTGGATAGGTAATATAACTCTAATATATAGATTTAGGCAAGGCAAAAAAAGAAGCTCTCGTAAAGAAAGTTATAATTTACTCAAACGAAAAAAAAAATTAAATAAAAACTTGAAACCACTGTGAAGAAATTTTTCAATTCTGTACATGTGCCAAACATTTGATACAGTGGAAGGACAAGGTGATTTACGGGAAAAATAAGCAAACCTTGAGCCATTCTTACGTACATAAACTAAAATGTCAAATGTTATAGTGTTTAAAGAAAAGAAAGTAGACTGTATTTATCAAAAATCATACAGTGCAATGGCGACGGCACTGAAAGACTTTGCACGTGCAACATACTTTCTTCTTCTACATTTCTTTGCCGTCGTTGAAACTTCCTAGTTACACGTTTCATGGAGGAAATGTCGTATGTGTTCACAAATAATTTTCTTCGTAATTTTCTTTTTTCTTTACTGCCGCTCATTTTCACCTTGCTGGTCGCTAGCGTTTCTCGTTTTATCAACGCCACTACATAATTTTCATGTTGTTCTTTCAACGAAATTCGTCGTCTTCGTTTTTTTAGCTCTCGCTCTAGCTCTTTCTCTGTTTTCCACGTCAGTGTAAACATTAAATTAAGATTTAGTCGAAAAAAAAAAAAAAAAAAAAAAAGATTAGGCTTAAGTTTGTTGTTGTTTTCTCTCTAACAGTCCGGGTGGCCATGTGATTTACCGCCCAAACGCGCGGATGCTGGAATGCAAAACTTCACCCCGGCTTACATGTCGGGGGTGGACAGATGTGTTTTCAGTTGTTTACCAAATTTCTCGCATCTATGGGTTACCATTTTTTCTTACGCATAGTGCTCCGCTATAAAAACCATGAATGATCCTAATGTGAGAGACGAAGTAGACGACTGGCCGGAGTATCTTATCGAAGGACAGCAGCAGCGCCACCGATTTTTAATGAAATAGAAAACTACAAAACAGTGAGGAGAAGTTTTAATAATGCTTTTCCCGGCATGACTAAAAGTAAACACACGAATTTTTCTTTTAGAATAACCTGCCCAATAAGGTGGCTTCTTGGTGTTGCGGATTGGTGCAAGCACTAAAAATGACGTAATACTATACAAAAGAATGATTAGACACTACCCACAGAAGCGAACCAACAATGGTTTCCGCGACACTGAAAAAAACACCCAATAATAAGGATGCCGATAATTAATTCTTATTACGAGGTCTCAATCGCGCAAAAATGTTGTCATTTTCAAGTTATTTTCTGGCTGGACATGAAAGTTTCGCGCACACATAGTACCTCTTTCTTAAAACGCACAGCCTTTTTTGTCGTGTATTATTGATCAGTTAAGTTGTCAATTTTTGTAACAAATTAACGTAAATATTTCCTGGAAATGATGACTGAAATTTCGATGCCTCCAGGTGTGTCGCCACGAAAATTGCACTGGGCCCCCTTAAAAACTTCTTTCAATACTGAGAGATCTTAACTAACATAAACTTCACCTCGATTCCTGTCTCGCCTGTAGTAATATCTGTCTGGATCGGGAACAAAATCCTCAGGTCTGGCTTCTTTGGTTCTGTCGCTGAACTCACACATGTTAAGAGAGATCACCCAATTGAAACTTTGGCACCTGCTGTCCTGACGACAAATAAGTACGCACTCATATCCAAAGTTTGCCTTTAGCGTCTTGTAGACGTGGTTTTGCAGCTTCCAACCCAAGATGGATTCCTCTGACCCACCATTGATGCATTGTTGAGAGAGTGTTTCAGTGAATATTTGAATCAGCATAAAAAGGAATGCGATACTGATGGTGTAACTCGCCGTCATTTTGACAGAACTGAAAAAAATGTCATGCATACATACTAGTAGAAACTACATTCTTAGAAAGTAATTAATAGTGATGGTTCATCTAACCGATGACAATAACCTAGTAAGACTTATTTTAAGTAACCTAGTAAGGACAAAGCTGGGGCCGTAGCTTTCCTTGTGTTAACAAATGATTTAAATTTTTGGCGATACCTTAAATTCCCAGTCATGCCATGGTAATATGTAGATGATACGAGGACTAAGGTAACGATAGCAACGCACATTATACAGTGAAGTGAATGCTACGCGCCCTGTGATTGGTCGTTGCCTATGATCTATTGGACTACAGTACATGGATGACGTCACGGGAACTTGTTTTCTTTTAGTTTTGTTCAACATAGAGCGCGGTTTTGAAAATGTTTGTGACATCATTTCGGATTAAAGCAAGTGAAAGCCTCGAAAAAAAGTTAGCAAGAGCTATTTACAAAGAATAAAATTGGAGAAACGGAGAGAAAGGGCTCTTCACAACTTAAGAATGCCTAAAAACGTCAGTGACACACTCGCCTGCGGCTCTGCGCCACTTCTTTGTTTTAACCACATTTTGACGTCATCTGTGATCTATTTTTGAACAGACCCACGCAATATGGAATCTCATTGTTTAACAATACTCGTAAAATTTCGTTGCACACTAGACTGAAACTGGGGTCTTTTTCATGTCACGCTTTCTCAACCAACTTACCCAACTTTTTTTCCGTTTGTACTTGTTCTCTCCTTTCCCAATGCTTTGTGACTGGCGTTTATTTGCAAATGAGTGATAAATGAATCGACATTGGGGAGGGCTTAACGTGACAAGTGTTTCAACAAATGTAACGAGTATTGTCAGTAGCCATTTTCCCTTTGATGATGATTTTTGCGCTTTTGGTCCAAAGGAAGACATGATCACAGATTTATGCGATTCGTTTTATTTCAGTTATGCAAGCTTGTTTGACCATTACTGCTAACTTCGTCCTTATTTCCTGGTTTTCAAGATTAGACAAATTTATGAAGCCTCTTCCGACAATACTTTCACTTGGTCCTTAATTTACTTTAATATGCAGTTCTAACGTTTGGAGTCGGTGTGAACGAAATCAGCTGAAATCCAAGGTGAAGACAATGGTTGAGGTCACACTAGAGAAAGTTTACTATAGTAAACTCAAGTTTACCATAAGTTTATTCTTAGGGTCGAGGGTAAACCCACGCTTGCCTTCGAAATGCCGCTCTTTCTCTAAGAGTACGTCTTCGACGGGTAATCAATGAACCTGTCACTAAAACATCTTCACTAACTTCGTATTCGAAACCAATGTAGGTAATAAGGGAGCGCATTCTTCTTGCTCGTCTGAGCAGTAGAATTAAAAGCAAAATGCTCACAACAGAAAACAATACTCTCTCACATTGAACCATCTTTATACACTTGTGACGGTCACGCTCAGGAAGTTACAGTTCAGTAATTTCAATTTAGTCAGCTCTCATAGCATGTCATCATTTGTTTTACTTTTCACTCTCACGTTACCGATCACGCGAGAAAAAACGCCTGGAAAGTTTCAAATGCCTTTTTAAGTGGACCTGTCAGGTTTACTACGGTAAAAAAGATGTTACGAGACTTACCATAGTAAAGCCCTTTTTACCATAGTAAAGGCTCTAGTGTGACCTCAACCAATACAAATGAATCAGTTTTTTAGTAGGAATTCCACACGGTTCTTTGTATCAATTTCGTATTAGTTTCTAACCTTTGTGCTCGCTCGTCAGTCATTTCAGATTCTTTGCACTACATACCGTACTATACTATTTCTTATCAGCAGAATTTTCTAGCAAGGTAATGTATCAAAGCAAGCGTCCCACATGGCCTTAAAGATTGATTTTATGAACTGACCACGGAATTGATTTTACAAACTGGATTTCTGCCACTTACGAATTCTTGCAGCATCGATCTCACCCTTCGGAAAAATTTTCGTGGCCACTTAATTATTGTATGTAAAACTTCTTCACGTCTTTCTGTTTTTAGTTTAGCGTTGTTTTGCTTGTTAATGCACGCAGCATCAATTATTCAAAACCCTTTCTCTAAAATTTACTTCTGCGAGTCATTAATGCTTCTGCACTAAAAGATTTAATTTTCCCTTTCGTTTGTTGCATCGTTTCGCAGTCGTAAAAAGTTAAGCAAAAGAACAAGTGGAAAAGGGTTTAAGAAAAAAAAAATAAGGAGAGAAAGAAAATCAAGTTGAGCTAGAGGCTTTCATGTCATTATTTTAAAGATATTAACATTTAAGAATTTTAGCGTTGTTAAAAAAAAGTTCAAATTAAAACGTTCAAGTTCTTTATAGCTGGATACGACACATGTCCATCTTTACCTTATGAATTAGCCATTTCAAAGAAATATAATTATGTTTATATATTTTGGAAATTTTCGTCACATAAATCTCATCATGGCTCTTTTATAACCGCTTTTGTTCTTAACTGGAGGGTTTCGGTGGATATACTCAGCGTAAACATTTTGGGCTCCGCGATTTGGAAAACCAAATTGATAGTTGTTGTCATTCAACAGTTTGGTTTACTCTCAAACTTGGTATACAAGCGTAAATAGTCTAATTCATGAAAAATATTCTCAGAGGGTAGCGGAATATTTGAATACATAGTCTACCTTAGTGATTTTTGGATATCACTTACCTGGTGTTTTTAGGCAGCATGCACCATAAAGGATCTCTCTTCCTATAAAGGATGTGGCCAAAACTCGCCTCCTTTTACGCAGTTGGTGACTTTACTGTTTGTAAGGGTTTTGATAGCGCAACTTTTTTGCAGGTTATTTCCCTTTCTCTTTTCAAACTAATCGTGACTGACGATTCTTGAAAATGTTATTTGAAACCTGAACCAAAATACTACTTAGCAAGCTTTCAGTTCACTCTTGCAAACGGGTCCTTGTTCAAATATAACTATAAGTTCTAATTTAGTACTTCAGAAAATATCAAAAAAGGTAGGCGGGCTCTGAAACAGTTCAGCTAAGCCGCAAGTAGGTGGATCATCTCATGTTTAATTTGTTTGACATTTTCAGATTAATATTATGGCGAATCTAACAAAAGACTATGTTTGTGGTTGATGCAGTTTTGAAAAATATTGAATGTGAAAGCGCTTGCCATATTGAGTTTTTGAGAAAGAAGTAAATGAATGAATGAATTAACCTTAAACTGAATTAACTAATTATAAGTTACTCATCGTCATGGTATGTGGTCGAACGAGTTGTATGCTATAATGGCTTTAATTTCAAGTTCTACAAAGAAATGAACGGCCAATAATTGACATTTTATGATCCTTGTTTTCTCGGTCCCTTTTGTAAATTGAAATAGAGATCCTGTTTTCACCTCCCCCCAAAAGAATTGAAATGAGCTTGTTACCAAACACCTCTGTTTTGCAGATATACAATTCACTACTAACGGATATTTGTACTCTTAGACACTCTTTAAATATATCGTCGTTTAGGCGTTCATAATAAATTTCACAATGTTTTACGTTGACAGTGTCGAGTACATACGTGTCGGTACTATGGGTTTAATAAAAAACCAAGTTAAAACCAAACAAAGCTCGAGTTGCTCACGGAAAGCACTGGCAGTGTGGACATGCTGATTTCATTGACTTCAAGTTCTCTTCTGGATGCCATCGTACCAAGAGAGAATGAGTTTTTGCTCTTACAGGGGAGTGCTCAACGGTCAGGAAAGATGGCGGACGTGTCCGACGATGGTTCCTGACCCTTTGATAAAATCATTTATTATTAACCTAAGTAAGGCCGCCCTATCTTTTTAGCCCTCAATGGTTATTATGGGCAGCTTGTAGTCTCTCCATATTTAAGTTATTTTTTTGTATCATGTAAATCAACTGGGGGTACAAATAAAGTTGATGTTGTTGTTGTTGTGCAGTGCGCCAGAAAGAAAGCACTACTTCAATGAGCCCGCCTTTACAGTTGGCCATGATCAGTCACCTAACATAAAAAGCGCTATGCTAGAGAGGAAACAGTGCAGGAGAGCCAAAAAAAAAGGGAAACAAGACAACAACAACAAAGATAGCGACACAATTCCACATTTCTCTTCTTTCTCCTGCCCATAGCCGCTCGCTCTAGCGTTCTTGCGGGGCTCTCTTCGCTCCCAATTCAGAATGGATAGCTTGCTCGCAGGCCTGTCTGAAGAGTCTCCACTATCGTCACAAGCACTTTGGTAGGATGGGAACTAGGTAATTTTGAGCCCACACTACTGAAAAACAGTGGTGTGAGTTTCAAAATGCATGTTTCTGTATTTCTTTGAGACCGTTCTTCTTACCGCGACATTGTTTCCCATTTCCTGTATATAACCAGCTTTACATGAACATGTGTGTGAGCCCTCGGTATTTTGACAAATAGCATTGACGTCATAGCTATATGGGAGTTAGCAGTGAGCTCATTTCTGTCTGAAAATATTATGGCAGAAACAACAACAACAAAAAATGTTTTTCCAAAATAATCATTGACAACGCCATATTCAAAGAGACGGCAAATATGCCGTTAACATTAACGTTGATAGACCTTATCCCTTCCGCATGTTTCCTAACAAATTCAGTATACCATTGAAATGAAGTCATACTACTGACGTTGTTCTTCATAACGTCGAACCAGTTTCCTTTTAAAAAGAAACATAGGCACATCTAACACGTCCGATGTTGTTTTCTCAGAGAAGATAGATGGGATGTCCCTCAATCAAAGTACCCGTATGTCACGCCCTTTTAAGTCGAGCTTAACAGGGAAGTTCTTACAAATTCAATGGTTTTCAATAAAGTGAAAGTTTAGTAATGAAATTGTTGCATTCATAAATCCATTTTAGATATCGTCGGATACCCCTGAAACGAATTAGTGAACATAGGTGTGGAGGGTCTTTTACGATTGCATCACGGATCAATCCTCAGTTTAGGACCACGATTTGTACTAGAGCACCGAGGCCAGGTAAATATTCGTAAAGCTGATAGCAATGACCCTTTTGACTCAAAACTTAATCTCACTG